GTGGAATAAGGAATATATTTCCGAATTACAAAGCCGTTTAAAGTGGAAGAAAAATCATCCCTCTTTGTTGAAGCTAGGTTCCATTGTGCTCATCAAAGAAGACAACTTGCCTGTGTCAGCGTGGAAGTTGGGTCGAGTTATGGAACTTCATTATGGTCAGGACGGGATTATACGAGTGGCTACGCTCAAGTGCAAGGACAATTTGACATGTAAACGAGCTGTTACAAAGCTCTGTGTGTTGCCTATTGGCGAAAATGACTTGATGAATAATTAAAGTTATTAGTAGGAAACGATAGCTTCATGGCATGGCTTGAAATGTAAAACTCTCATTTCCTTGTTATCAATTTATTGTATTAGAATTTAGATTTTTTTTGTGTATTGAAATAATCATTTCAAGTCGGGCGGCATGTTTGGGCCAGTTTAGACCAATACATAGTGGCAACGCCACTGACAATGCCACCTTTCTTAGCTTTATTAATTTTGATTAATGTCATTAGGTTTTTGTTAGAAAGACTTCAATTTTTTATATTTTATATCTATTTTGCTCTGAGTTGGAGCTCTTTGAAAGTAAATTATTTGCACATTTTATACAGTCCACTTATTGAACATACATAAGGATATTATCAATACAATAACACCCCAGCAATGGGAAGAGTACTTTGAAGAATTACTGACAGAACAGCGGGCAGAGTTTGAAGAAAAAAGGGAAAAGACACGACACATAAAAACTGCAGGATCACCAATAGTGTTATGCAAGAAGAAGTTAAAAAACACTGCGGCTTCTTGAAAAATGGTAGGGCACCAGGCCGAGGAGAAATATATGGAGAACTGATAAAGTGTGGGACCAATAAACTCTACAAACATTTAACAAAACGATTTCAAACATGCATAGATAAACAAGAAGTACCGGAAGAGTGGAAAATAAGCTATTTAACAACGATATATAAGAGAGGAGACAGAAACAAATGCGAGAACCACCGAGGAATTGCAGTAACAAATACGCTGAGCAGAGTGTATGGAAAACTCATAAAAGCCAGAATAGAGAACGAGTATAAAGATAGTGAGGCAGAAGAACAGGCCGGTTTTAGAGCAGGAAGATCAACTGTAGACCATTTATTCAGTTTGACCCAGGTAATGGAAAAGAAACTAGCCTATAACCAAGAACTCCATTTACTTTTTGTCGATCTAAAGAAAGCATACGACAATGTTCCGCTGAAAAAGCTTTGGGAAGCACTGGAAAAGACCAATATCAACTTAGAACTAATAAAGGCAGTAAAAACGCTTTATAGTGATGCAAAGACCAAGATTAAACAGGGAAACTTAATCAGTAAAGGCTTTATAGCAACTAAAGGACTTAAACAGGGATGCTGCATATCACCAAGACTTTTTAAAATATACTTAGAACAAGCGCTCAAAGGGTGGAAAAACAAATGCAGACACATGGGAATACCGCTCAATGAATACAATCTTTATACTTTAAGCTTTGCAGATGATCAAGTCTTAATTGCACAGGACTATGATGACCTAGAGTACATGACACGAAAATTGATAGAGGAATACGAGAAATGGGGTTTGGAAGTAAATTTAACGAAAACAGAATATATGACTATAGGAGGTGAACAACGAAATCTGAAATTGAATAACGGACAAGAAATAAAACAATGTTCTGAATACAAATATTTGGGCATGAAAATCTCACACGAGGGAACCCTAGACGAAGCAATTAAAGATAGGAATATACCAGGACGCAAGGCAATATCCCTACTAAATGGTGTACTGTGGGATCAAAATATCAACAAAACTAACAAAACGAGAATATACAACACCATAGTCAAAAGCAAAGTCACGTATAGTTCAGAAGTCTGGCCACTAAAGATCAGAACCGCAAAAATGCTGGAAGCAACTGAAATGGACTTTTGGAGGAGATCGGCAGGCAGGTCAAAAATGGAGAGGATAACAAATCTGAGAATTAGGGAGATTATGGACGTAAAACACACAATAATAGATGATATAAAGGACAAACAGCTGATTTGGTTCGGACATGTACAAAGAATGGCAGATACAAGAATACCCAAGCAAATAATTGAGTGGAAGCCAGGGGGAAGAAGAAGACGCGGCAGACCAAGAAGAAGCTGGAGAAGTGGTGTAGACGAGGAAATGAAAGACAGAGGCCTAGAAGAGGATGCCTGGATTGACAGAGATGGTTGGAGATCGGGAATCGGAAGACGTAGAACGTTATAAACCGATAATTATATATATATATATATATATATATATATATATACCACTTTATTACGTTTCTCTATTTTAATATTTTCATCCTGAATTAGATCTATAACATATTCTGTATCTATAATAAGGTTACCCATGGGGATATTAATATCTTCATAAGGAAGATTGAATTTGTCACCGAATGCCAGCAACCGTTGTACCTCGTTAGGAAAAGTGGTATTGGTATATCGCGACTGTTGGTCAATTAACCCTCGGGCAGGCGCGCTATCGGCCTTTTATGTCGCCTTTTTACTAATTGAAGGATTTCGCAAATATTTTGGATTTTATCATATTGTCCGTCTAGCTATGCTGAAATTACTATACAAGCAAACCTACTACGCACAACTTACGACTTTAGAGCGCTTGTTCAGATGTCAGTGAGTTCTTGAACTTGCAGATGTTGAGTTTTCGACATTCCGTGCTGCCAGCGAGCCTGGTCATGTAAGTAAAATTGAAAGGGGAATAGTACAAATATTATGAATATCATTTTTGTGTTTTTGCGAAATTAGTATTAAGGATTTCATTTAGTTGCCTAGAATTACAATTTACATGATTTTTTTACTCTATTTAAAAATAAATTTTGATATTTTGAATAATTTCGTACATTTTTTTGCAGGCGGCACGCAGTGCCGCACCGCGCCTGCTAATGTGATTTTCAAATGCGCGCCCGCCCGAGGGTTAAAGTCCATATAAAGAGAAATAAAATAATAAATCAAAAAACAAGTATCCATTTTTTTTCCATGATTATTATCATTGTATCATTATTGTTTCAAGTTGTGTATTTTTAACCTGTGTGTAAGTGTATTTTTAACCTGCCTGTTGGTTTGTGACTGTGTGTTTTTTTTTTTTTTTAATGTACCTTTCGATTTTTGTTAAAGCTAATCAATTGATATTTTTGCTCTTTCATTTATGTAATTAGTGTTTATTTCAGGTAGGTTTAATTTTAAATGTACAACAATTCTTTTAATTACGAACGCGAATTGTAATTTTATCCACCTAGTGATTCATTTTAGATCTTTAACGTATTACATAGTGATTGTTGAGTTTTTAATGTGTATTTTCCTTAGTTGTTGATTGTTCTTATAGTTACTTAGGTTGATTATTTTAATTTTTTTTTTAGAGTCCTGAGGATGATCTCATAGAGATCGAAACGTCAATAAAATATATACATTGATCGTCTGAAGAGTGTTTTTTTTTTACCAATATCCAACTAAAATATTGAATAAGATTATACACTGAGGTCACGAAAAGAATTCACATATACATTTTTTCAATAGGAGATATTCTTCTTTAGCAGTTTTTTACCTTACCTTACCTTTTTACTATTAGGTAGGTACTAAGTTTTTAAAAATAAATCAGGTGCCAAGTAAAGCAATTAGTTATTGGTCCTTCAGGAATTGGTTTTTGATTCGACTTTTTTCTACAAATAGGCCGATTTTTGTTCATACGACCTACGAAGGCGTAGAAGGGACATTTATTAATTTTTTATTTGCTCGTAGTGATGCACAATTAATTCCGTGTTAACTAACTCGGAATTATTCCCCTCCTATTTGATTCCGCGTTAACTAACTCGGAATTAATCCCCTCCTATTTAATTCCGTATTAACTAACTCGGAATCAATTTCCTCTTGGTTAATTTCGTGTTAAGTAACAGGGAATTAATCTGCTCTTATTTAATTTCGTGTTAGGTAACTGGGAATTAATCCCCTCTTATTTAATTCCGACTTATTTAATTCCGAGTTAATTAACACGGAATTAAATAAGAGCAGATTAATTCCCAGTGACTTAACACGAAATTAACTAACAGGAAATTGATTCCGAGTTAGTTAATACGGAATTAAATAGGAGGGGATTAATTCCGAGTTAGTTAACACGGAATTAAATAGGAGGGGAATAATTCCGAGTTAGTTAACACAGAATTAATTATGCATCTCTACCAGCAAATAAAAATTTAATAAATGTCCCTTCTACGCCTTCGTAGAATTATTGTAATTGTATCATATCCGAAATAATTGTGAAAAATGCACCATCGACTTGAAAAAGTGAAAATACGGGAAACGGGCTACAATGTAGGATAAAATTAATTGTTGGAAAAGTATAGATAGGGCCTGAGGAGAAAGTGCAACACAATAGACCGACTCTCATAGTAAATAACGACGAATTTAACGGTCAGTAAAGGGATGGGCTGAGTGCTGAACCGTGTAAGAAGCGACGAGCTAAAAGCCCGACTCGTTACGTGCCAATACTCCTATTTGGTTGCAAATTTATTTTTTTAGTCGGTTTGCTTTTATTTTTCTCCGCAAAATAATTTTTGTGGCACACAGGCCGCGAAATTCAATTTCGCGGCCGCCACACCTTACGTGCAAAATGTGTCAATTCCTTGTCAAATTCATACAGCTTTTCTGCAATTTTATCTAATTTTTATAGTTGCACAAAAAATAGTGTGTATACTATGACCGCGAAAAAGGCATTTCGCCGCCTTGGTATACAAATAACTATTAAAAAGATTTTCACGAAATAATTCTCCAAACTTCACTTTCCGCATATTATTATGTATTAATTTAGATTAAGTTTTGCAACTGCTTTCCGCAGCAGCATGTTCTTCTGCTAACTAAACTAACTAGAGCTCTAATTAGCTCATTTAATTCAGAATTTTGAACGAAGGAGCGCGTACATTTTTTATCCGTTTTTGATTCACGATTAGATTTATAATAAAATAGGAAAATTACCTGCTGGTAGTATACGAAAATAGCACGGAGACTGCTGTTTTCCCACATCATTTTCCGCCCAACATTGTAGAGAAGTGACATCGTTTGAATCGCCAGGAAAGTGCAAAAGAGAAACATTTCCTTTATTTTGCATCTTAGCTCCTTGAACTGGAAAAACTCCTTCTGAAGTATTGTAAGTCCAAAAGAATCTGTTTACTGGAGGCACTGAATCCACTATGCATTGAGCCATAATCTTTTCATAAGATATCACACCAATTTTGACATCTTCGTAGCCTTTTTTACAATAAGGTTCAACTGCAAAAAAATACAAAAAATAAATAAAATCGATCGAGCCAGTGATCTAATTTATCTGAAAATCCCGAAGGACGTCATTTAGGTTTGGCCAGTTGTCCCCAAATCTTTTTCTGGCGTGTGCACTCTTGTTATAGAGCCGATCGACACGCGAAACTCCAATTACAAATCCTATTAATATCACTACCTACACTATTCAGGAATATTAATTGGCCTTTGGCGTAGCACGTCCCATTATTTGTGAATTTGAGCCTGTTTTGATGCTAACGGCATTATCCAAAATAATAATTTTACGTATGGCTAAAACTGGACCCAAAATCGTGCTTAAATAACTATTTCGTTTGGTTTAATTTAGTCATAAATTGATCTGCGAGCAAACACAAAACTGTCTGGTTAGAGTTAAAATAATTACGAATATTGTATAGCCACAATATATGTATTAGGATCGGTTCGGCTGCTACTGTTAGAATTAAAATATCGGATTTTGTCATCAAGCTGGATTCAGCAACAACTAAAGGCAACCGCCGTTGAGCAACCAACTGTTTGGTAAATCACGAGAGGATCATCATGGAAAGGATCTGAAGAATTAAATATACAGGGTTGTCCAATGGAAAATTTTCACCCCGATTTTTTGGATTTGAAATGGAAATCTGGAAAAACGGTTGGATACGTCGATTTTTGATTTTAGAGGGAACTATTTTTCTTTGCGCAATCTTTTTCTGAAGTTTTAAACTTCCTAAAACAGTAAAACAATATAATTATGAATATAGCAAGACTTTGACCTATGATTAAATATGTATTCAAATAAGAGTTTTCAAAAGACAATTCTTTGAGATTATGACTCATATTTGATTGATTTGTTGAAGTTCCAATGCTGTTTCGTCCTCTGGAAGTTCAGGGATGTCTATTTTTGAAATCTTAACTTCAAAATTGAAGTTCTCGATGGTTTTTGAAAATGTTTGATTTTATTTTTTTACAAAGCATTTTTCAAAAGAAACTAGCGTTGGATTTGTTATAATTTCCATCTTCTCACATCGGGTAACTATCGTCAGGCCTTTCTTAGGATCTAATAGTTGTCCATTCGGGAGTCGTTTCACTGTTGGTTTCTCATATTTCACTTTAGTGAAAGAACATTGCTGTAGTAGGTCAGTAATCAGGTCATAGACACGACACAATATGATTCTTCTTGTTTACAAAGGTACACATTTTCGACTTTTGGTCATTTCCATAAAGTATTGTAGTAAATATCCGTAGTAAGTACCTAATAGGTAAAGGTACTTATTCCTAGTGGTAAGTTCTTGGATAGGAATTGGATAATTTTTATATAATACTAGCTGACCCGGCGAACTTCGTACCGCCTCTGAATTATTAAATGCCTATTAAATGTTGTATTAACGTATCTATTTGCTGAATTAAATTCAGTTTTTTACGATGGTGAATTTGGCTTTGGTTGAAGAAAATTATTGTTTACTCTGAGGTTTACTCTCTGGATCAGAAGTCACCTAAAATTAAAATTTTACATCATCCTTTTTGTTTTTTCAGCGTTGACAGTACCAGCATGTTGTTATGTCAATAATTTAATTAAATTAAGTTTACGAAAAAATGTGATGAATGAAGAACCGCTCGACCGATTTTGTGCAAACTTCACATAAACCATCTAATAAATAGTCGGAACAAAGCCAAAACATTTGGTTTGGCTAGGTGAGCCCGTTCTCGAGTTATAAAATTACAACGAAAAGTGGCATTAATTTTTATATATATACAATATAAAGGGATTGGGATTAATCATTGGTGTCTGTTTAACAAATATAATTAATTTTGGATTTTTTACTTGAGTTTTCATTGTCTCGTAATACTTGATTTTCTTATCAAAAGGTATTTGCTGACTTCTGGGTATATTTGTCAATATTTGATTTAATTCATTATGCTGTAAAATAGTAAAATGCATTATTCCCAATTGTGCAAAATTTATTGCTAATTGCACATGATTAATAAGATTCCTTATTGTAATACTTTGGATATTGATATTATTCAATATCAAATTAAAGGTTAACATTTAATGGAAATTTTGGTTTTCCAAGGAAATATTTTGTAATTTTCTTGTGATAGCCTTCTGGTTAGATTTAATAGTCATAAATTGATCGTGGAATGTTTTTGTAACTTGTTTCAATACTCGGGCTTGTGTTTTTAGATCTTCATTGAGAGTCTTTTGATTATCATTGAGCGTCTAGCTATAAGAATCATGCCTTGCGCCATCTTCAGCATCTAGGGTTCCGTAGAGCCATTTTTGTGCTGTGCTCATGAAATTTAATAGACCTATTTTGTTTCTTTTTCGGTCTTGATAGGTTTTAATGACCTGTTTAATGATCTTAATTTGAGAATAACTGGTTTCAATATTTGCTTGAAATCGTGTAACAAATTGGTTTGACCATGTCGTTTTATTTAGTGTGTCCGATAATTTCATTTGGGTTATCTCTAATTTATGGATACTTTGTATGATAATTGTCGTGTTAATGTGCTAATAGGCAGTGTTATGTCGAGTTGTTACGCAAGTAGTTCCTAAGGAAATTGGTAAGATAGGATTTTCTACCGTCATCAATGTATGCGCTTGGGTGACTCTAACGAGAGTAAGAAATACTAAGGAACTCATCTCGGGGTAGCTGAAATAAATTATTGTCGTTTAACATTTTAGCAAAGCGATTCTGTTTTTGCTGTCATAACGCGGACTTATCTTGTCTCTATTAAATTGTTTTACGAAGATTGGATCTTGTAATTCTGGTTCGGGTTCACGATTTTTATTGCGTGATTCTAAAGACTTTGTTTGCTGCACTGATACTTTTTCTTCAATTTCTTTGTTCAAATTTGCAAGGGATTCTGCCACACTTGTTATATAGTCAGTTGTTAGTTTATTTTCTCTTTTTTCGATTGGTATGGCATAATTCAAATCTTCTTTAATAATCACTTGAAAAGAGGTGTGATTCATTATACTATGAGTACTGTTGTTATATTTCAATATAGCGATTGTCATCAGATCAATAGTACTCTTATTCGGATTTTGGAGTTTTAAACTCGTTATACTTTCACGTGTGTCGAATGGAATCTTCCGATTGGACTATTCGAGTTTGGATTTCTTGTATAACGAAACTCAATTTTATATAATGTACAAAGATCTGTCATTATAGCATTTTTGAACTCTGCTCCATTATCTGATGTGATTTTTTAAGGTGTTCCATGATCACTAAAATATTTCAATAACTATGATGTTATCTCTACAGCTGTTTTCGTATTTACAGGAGATGCTTGACCAAATTTTGAAAAGCTATCAATAATGGTCAGAAATTTCTAGTTATTGATCATATATGTGTCAATATAAATATGTTCAAAGGGTTTTGTACCAATAAGTGTTGGTTTAAATAATATGATTTTGTATGGTTGTCGTTCATACTTGATTTTATTGCATATCTCGCATACTTTGACATAATTCTGTACTTTTTTCTCGATATTGGGCCAATAGAATAGTTTCTTTAGGGCTGCAACATTTTCAGGGATTTTTCTCTTCTTGAAGATTAGCTTCTGTGATGTCTTCTAATAAAGAGTTCAAGATGTACAAGGTAAATGAATTCGAATTGAACGATTCTTGTAATGCTCGTATCACAATAGGTTCTAAAGATTTATTAAGGAAATAAAGGCAATAAATATCAGGTGGCATGTCTTCTTTTACTGAATTAGTAATTTTTGATGTTGTTGGATTATTTGGTAATAGTTTGATTATCTCTTTCCTAATTGTGTTATTATTGGAATATCGAAATATAATGTGATTTCCAAATACATTCACACGTTTCTTAGTATATAAACTGCTAGACAATTGCTTTCGAACAAGGTAAATATCGCCTAACTTTCAAGATCGATATTTTTGGAACCAGACTAGATATCGACCTGCGGTATTCACGGGCTGACAGATTGACTTTTTGTGAAAAAAATTGCTATTTTGAATTTTTTTTAAATGTCTACTTTTTTTTGATACAGGGTGTTAAAAGAGTCCATGACTTTCATCCCAATTTTGAATGTGTGTAACTTTCTCAGATTTTTTAAATTTGATTTCTATGCGGCGTTTTAATCAATGATCTTCTGCAAAAAAAGTAATTTCTCAAATTTTTTATACCTGCCTTAGTTTTAAAAATATCAACATTTTTCATAACCTCCACTTTTTTCAACTTTTAAGCACCTAAACCATCGTGTACAATAAATCTTGCATCTTATGCTGCTGTTTGATATACCCCACGATATCCTGGTTTATTTTTAATGAAAAAAAAAATACTTAAATAATGTGGTGTCCAGTAGCGTACTAATAATCGCCCATTTTCGGAATAATTTATTAATGGCTCACCGATTTTTACATTCAATGGTGCATCATTTTAAAATAATCATCTGAAGTTTCATTTGTTTAGTTCACTTTGATCATTGACATATTATTAAGAAACCAATTTCTCAAAATTTTGATATTTGCCTTTGGTTTTAAAATATCGTTTATTTAACATAACCATATTAATTTTTTCGATTTTTCCGTTCTAAACCATCCTGAATCGTTCTTACCGGTGAATTTTTTTAGCAATTGTTATACCTTTCAGCCAGCATATTTACTATGATGAGTTAGTTTAAAGTTGAGTTTCGATGAAAATTGGCTTGATTGAGTTAGTTCAATTTCATTAGCAATTGTTATGTCTTTCGATTAGCGTATTTTTATGATTAAAAATTTCGAATACCTACCTCAATTATATTCTATACAGTGGCGTGCCAATAATTATTTATACCACTGATAAAATTTAAATATTCGGAACCGATTTCGTTGTGGTGAGAGGAAACCCGAATTTTAATTACCTGCTAATTTTCTTTGTAGCTTCATGTTTAAAGGTATTTCAATTAAACATTCTTCCACTAATGGTAGCAGTATCACAAAATAAAGTTAAGGATGGTAAATTACATTATCTGCCAAACAAAAAATTATATGAACAACGTTAATGCTTCTTTAAGTTGATTCAAAACAAAACACAAAAAGTGTTTCTATAGGTTTTTTACGTTATGTTTAGGATAACGTCGTAGAACAAGGACTGACAATGTTGTCAATGCCTATTTTTTTCCTTATTATTCACCAGAATGTAATAAAAAAATTTCAAGACCACTGACAGCTAGAAATAACAAAATGAATCTAAACGTGTTATGTATTTGAAAATGTTTATTCAAATCATACAACGTCGCGCGCCGTTGTCAACCGGTAACATCTGAAATTCCCCTACTTTAAATGCGTTAAGAAGTACTTTCAGTTTAGTTAGGTACCTAGGTACCTAGGTAAAACGAATCAAAATAAGTGAACTAAAAAACTAATCAAAGTAAGATTCAATAACAACAACAAAGTGACCTTAAGTAATAAACAACGTAAACTAAAAAAATTAATAAAGAACGGTCGATAATCAAAGTTATTTAATTATCAGCTAGTAAGCCCTCCCCTCACATTCACAACCTCTTGGCATCGCGTGGCATGTTGTCAACCAAGAGATTAATGAATACCTGATGAATATTTTGCCACTCTTCTTCTATGGCAAGTGCGAACTTATCCAGCGTTTGGGAGCATTTTCGCGCGATCATACCAGTAACTTCAGCTGAGACCACACAAGATCAGGAGATTTTGGAGGCAGGTGTAACTGTTGCATGTTATGCTCCCCCAAAAGCTCCTAGACAATTCTTGCTTTGTGTGGTCTCGCATATTTCCTGCATATGGAATAACAATGTCATTTATTATGTGATTCCGATAAATTACGGCGATCTATCATTGTACATCACTCCGGCCCAAACATAAAACCCTCCTACTCCAAAGGTTTCCTGAGAAGTTAGTTGTCTTCTTCAAATCGCTCCCCAGGTTGCCTCCATACTAACACCCTACCATCGGAGTGTATCAGGTTGAAATTCACCGGTAAGAACGATTCGGGATGGCTTAGAACGGAAAAGTTGAGAAAATTAATATGGTTATGTTAAATAAACGATATTTCAAAAACAAAGGCAAATATCAAAATTTTGAGAAATTGGTTTCTTAATAATATGTCAATGATTAAAGTGAACTAAACAAATGAAACTTCAAATGATTATTTTTAAAATTATGCACCTTTGAATGTAAAATTCGATGAGCCATTAATAAATAATTCCGAAAATGGGCGATTATTAGTACGCTACTGGACACCACATTATTTTAGTATTTTTTTTTATTGACAATAAACCAGGATATCGTGGGGTATATCAAACAGCAGCATAAGATGCAAGATTTATTGTACAGGATGGTTCAGGTGCTTAAAAGTTGAAAAAAGTGGAGGTTATGAAAAAAATCGATATTTTTAAAACTAAGGCAGATATAAAAAAATTGAGAAATTACTTTTTTTGCAGAAGATCATTGATTGAAACGCCGCATAGAAATTAAATTCAAAAAATTATCTGAGAAAGTTACACACATTCAAAATTGGGATCAAAATCATGGACTGGTTCCAAAAATATCGATCTTGAAAGTTACCTTGTTCGAAAGCAATTGTCCAGCAGTTTAGAACTCCTATGGATTTTCCATAGACATAATATATTGTTTGTTCATTTTCAGACAGGGCTGAAACTGTTCGTTCGTCATCCGAAAGTGTTATTTGTCTTTTACTTTTTTGAGCTTTTGAAGCGATTCTCTTATTTCTATGGAAATTTCTTTCTTTTCTTTTTTTTTCTTGGAGGTATTATTAGTTGGGATACCTAATATTATTATTTTAGGTTTTCCTTTCTTAGGTTCCTCTTCAGGTTCTTTTTCGGATGCTGTTATTGTTGATTGAGATGATTCAGACATTGTTATCTCTTTTTCTTTAGCTATCTCGCTTTGTTTAGGAAGATATACTTCAGAGTGTATCTTTCAGCATTACTGCTAATTTTCTGGGAAATTCTTCATCTGATGGCATCTGGATCTGATTTTAGAATGGCATGAAGTTGTGTTGCGGGAATTCTGGATAGTGCGTCTGCATTCATATTTAATGTTCCCTTTTTGTATTTCATCTCATAATCAAATTTGAATAATTTTAATCGCCATCTGACTAATTTAGAACTCGGTTCTTTAACATGAAATAGCTATTGTAGAGGTTTGTGATCTGACAAAATTGTGAATTTTCTACCAAAAAGATAAGGTCGAAAATATTTTGTTGCCCCTACGATTGCTTAAAGTTCTTTTTCAATCGTCGAATAATTACATTCAACTGGGTGCGGATGCAATGGAAAGATCAGCTCCGACAGAACCTTGAGATAAAACAGCTCCAATTGCATATCTTGAGGCATCGGTTGTCAATAAAAACGGTTTCCTAAAGTCAAGATGTTGTAATATAGGGTTATTTATTCATACGTTTTTACAAGTTTCAAAGCTATTAAAAAATTCTGCATTGTGTATCATTTTGTTGTCTTTTTTCAAACGAGATGTCATTGGTTTCGTCAAAGTAATAACCTACTATATATATACAAAACATAAAACAGCAAACCAAACATTGTTTGCAACGTGAATGTGATGAACACTCTTTTTTGAAAAGTTCTCATTCATTGCCTGTATTGTATAGAACCCTGTGTCATTTACATCATCTTCATCTCTATCGTTGGATTCAGAGAGATCATACAACTCCGTTAACTTCGCCCTTCCCGAGTCAGGCCATTCGCTTCCAAAATCCTTTTATTTTTTTCGCAAAACAACCCCGTTATCATATCCTAGTAATTTACCTGATTTATTTAAAGCATAGTCTAGCACTAGTTCAGAAAAATCCAGACATGAAAAATCAGCACACATATCTCTATGCTTAGACTAAAGATGCCTCTATTTTTGTTATTCATGGTTACATCGTGTACTATTCCACCTCAAATTTAAAAATAATATTAGCTGAAGGAGTATCATCTGCTTACACTCCTGGCATTTTTTTTTACGAGCACAAATTGCGGATAATGAGTCCTGAATTAACATCACTTTCATTTGCTTCCAGTCCTGTATTTGCCCAATTGTAAAATATTTTTAGCGCTTCATACTTCTTTCATGTTGCGTTGTTCCTGAGTGCGTCATAAGTTGATTTGACCATTATATTCTTTGTGCTTTTATAATATTGAGGCCGTCCGTTTGATCTTAGACTTTGGTTTGAATAAGGTATCTTGATAAAGATCCCGTTATTCTAAAGACCGGTCCACACTCCGATTGGCCCACCAGGGATTTTCCGGTATCCTGGTGGGTTCATCCAACCCTTGGTGGCAGCAGCAAAAAATGAATGACGCCGCCGTGCGTATAGATTGATTCGCTACAGAGGGAAAATAGCAAAAGTAATCTAAGAAAAATTAGAAAATGGACTTCAGCTCTTTACACGTGGAGTACGAGGCGCGAGGCGAAACGTGGGTGAAAAGTCAACGGTCACTTACCCAGCGAATTCGGCATTTAAAATCCCGCAAAACGGACTACAACACTAATGTAAGGTAAAGGAAACCCAAGAAAAAAACTAAAAGTGTTGCAGCAATTTTTTCCATCCCAAAATCCCAAAATTGGGAACTGAGCCGGAACAATCTCGACCAGAATCAGATGAAAAGTGACCAAAATGGACATGTCTAATGTGGAGCTGGCTGACCAATGTCAACGTCAACTGTAATCACGTAATTGTCGAGGCGCACACACAGAGCTACGTTTTCCCATCAAATCTCCAATCGGATAACTTGCCAGTTCACTAAAGATAACAATAAGTGCAAAATCAGTGCCATAAGATCAAAATAAATTACAAGGTCAGTTAATAGGAATAACAACGTATTAGCTAAATCAACAACCATATACAAAATAACCATCCGAAGTTCGCTGCGCACCAAGCGGTACGATAAAGAGTACATCTCCTGAATACGGTGGATGTCGCAATCAAGTTGCACTGGGTGTTGCGGATATGAGAAACTTTCATGACATTTAAATGGCGGTTTCTTTCGAAAGTGAATTAACATCATCGCACCTCAAAATAGAAGTGGTCCTATTTTTTAGATTTATCGACTAATAAATAATCCGCAAATTCTTATATTGAAATAGGTCTAAAAAGGCTAACTTCAACGTTAGGAATGCCGCTTGTTAGACGCCCCGTGTTGCACTAAAGTATTTTACCACCTGTGTTTTTTTTTTTCGTTTTCGCTTTAAAAAAAAAAATCATGCTGTTTTCAAGCAACAGCTATATTTCTCTGGATTTTTTTGTATAAATGGCCGCTAGTTGTCTAAAAAGTGTCGGTGGTTTGTGCAGGTGGACCCTTCTCATATCACGGAACTATATTTTGCGGGTAGCTCAAGATGAGAAATTCAGTAGCTCTATAATGATTTAATAATTGGAAAAAGTTTCAAAAAAAAACTAACGGGCGCGAAATTAATTTCCCTGTTTTAACGAATTGTCAATTTGTCACAAACAAATATACAGCATTAACGGAAGCCTGAAAAGTTTGCCGTGCCGCGAATCGGAAAATTACGTTGGCTTTCATTTAGACCCTTTTGGCTAACTTCGATCGATTGATCGATAAATATTTTTTTGTCAAAATGGTTCAAATTAATTAAATTTCTAAATAATTTAAAAGTATATATATATATATTTTTTTTTTCAAATTTGTTAACCAAGAGAAAAAAGTTGTAGGTGATTGATGTGATTAAGACGATGTTATACGCGATTTTTAGTTTTATTCTATTTATTTACTTTTAATACATAGAGTGTAACAAGCCAAAATTGCCTAGCTAATTCTAACCTACTTTCAGTTTTCTATTCAAAATTCCTTTAAATTTGTTAACATTTTCTCTCTATAAAATTTCAACAACAATCACAGCAATTGCAGATCCTGTGAATTTTCTAATTTTCAATAGTCAAATTATATTTTCATTTGTTACTAGTTCCTGTGCTGTAATGATTTTTCCTCGATTAATCAATATTTTAACTCAATTTCAAAATCAAAACAAATCAATATTTTTATTCCAATTCAAAATTCAGTTTGCCTGTAAATAAATCCATTTCTTTTGGGGTTATGTTTTCCAACCGTTTGACCCGTTTTCAAAGTGTATGTACCGAACTACTCGGTTCAACTATTGAACTCAGTACAAGTTCTAGTGGAACCCGCGTCAATCATTAGTTCGATAATCTTTGATATGTGTTCTGCGCTATCCTTGCTATTTCTATTCTCTACATGTCGATTAAAGAGAAGTTTAGAATCTAGGGTTATTCCTAGGAATTTAACTTCTTTTATCACAATCAAGTCTGCTTCCATCGAGGCGAATGTTTCTCAGGTCTGGGAGTTTCGTTCTTTTTGTAAATATTACCAGTGTAGTTTTTGCTGAGTTTAGATTCAGCCCCACTGTCTGACATCATTCCTTCGTGGTTCGAAGTGCTTTTTCTATAAGGTCGCAGAGTATTCCTTCGTATTTGCCTCTAGTCACGATGACAATATCATCGGCGTATCCGGTGCAGGTGAAGCCCTGTTCGGTCATCAAATTTAGGAGGTCGTCAACCACTAGACTCCACATCAAAGGTGAGAGTACCCCTCCCTGCGGACATCCTCTAGTGGTGGTGACCTGTATGGTTTGTTCATCCACGTCAGTTTCTGCAGTTCTGGTGGCTAGCGTTCCGCACATCCAGGTGGATGTGGTTTTGTTCACTCCTTTTTTGACGTACGCATTCTTTATTCACTCGTAAGAGGTGTTGTCAAATGCCCCCTCTATGTCCAAGAAGGCGCAAATGGCTACTTCTTTATTATGCAATGTGCTTTGGATGCTGTCGGTGAGTTCAAGTAAAGCAGTTTCTAATGATCTGCCCGCTCTGAAAGCATGCTGCCTAGGATGTAGTGGCGTCTTTTCCAAAACATTTGTTCTGATGTAGTTATTTACAACTTTCTCAGCTGTTTTAAGCACAAACGACGTGAGGCATAGGGGTCTGAACGACTTCGGAAGAGTGGCGTCTCTTTTCCCTGCCTTTGGGATGAAAGTTACTTTTGCTCTTCTCCATTGACTATATAGATACGGCATGATTTCATTTTGCCCTTTTTGCAGCAGGGCTGGAAAGATGCCGTTAATTAGCCGGTTGGGGCGAGTCGATCGTCCAAATAAGCCGCTGAGGAGTGCAAAGTTTCTTGGCAACCTCCCAGTTTTCTTGCCTGGTTTTCCTGGGCCGCCCTTTTTTTCCTTCATTATCATTGGGTGTGCTTCCTGGAAAGTGAGTTTCCAGTAGTAGCGCAGCTCGTTACTCCTCATTTTTTGTGTAACAACCGTCTAGTTAAACGTCAATGGTCCTTGCGCCCTGCCTTTCACCAGAGTTTTGTATTATCTGGGCTGCTGATGGTGTTTCTGTGATAGATTCACAGAAGTCTCTGAAGTTTTTTCGCTTGGCCTTCCTTATTTCTTTGTTATATTCAGTCAGTCTTTCGGTGTAGTCCTACCATTCTCCGACTCGTTTGGCTTTGTTGAAAAGCCAATAAACGTTGGATCTAAGTCGTGACAGGTGACTGTGCCACCATGGGCAACCATTTTTGTTTACTTGTTCTTTCACGCGACAGCTGGATTCGGATTCGTATGCCTCCATGATTGCTCTGTTAAGGATTTGAAGGGTTTCTTCTACTTGACATATATTCTTGCAGCTAAACTGATTTTGTTCAAGGTTACATTGCAGTTTGGTTGTTTATTTTTCCCAGTTTATATTTCTGGAGTTTCTATACGAAGTGGTTCGTAACTGCACTCCTTTCACCTCAAACATTATGATTCTGTGATCAGAGAGAGAGGGTTCATTGGAAACTCTCCAATACCTGATCATTTAGTGAATATTTGGACTACAAAGTGTTATGTCTAACACCTCCTGTCTGACCCTAGTAACAAATGTTGATGTATTCCCTACATCAAGTATTTTTAGGTTTGTTTGAAAGATAAATTCTAACAGTTGCTCACCTCTTAGATTTGCGTCGGTACTTCCCCAGATGGTGTTGTATGAGCTGGTGTCACAGCCAATTAGGAGCGGTAGTTTGCTCCTGTTATAGTACTCGATTAGTCTCTGTACTTCTTCTGGTGGTGCTTGCCCATCTCCAGGGAAGTAACCTGATGCTAGCTCGCGGTGTGGTTATTAAAAGACCCTTAAATGAGCCGCGCTTTGTGGTAAGCTCAGTTATGAGTTATAATTTATAACTACACAATTGCTGTGCCGTGATTTTGTGCAAAAAATTGCCTAAGATATGCTGAATAATTATTGATTTGCTGCTGTATAGTACGACTACGGTATTTCACTGTTAGACGGCAATAAAATCACTTAGGACATAAGGTGTTGAATAAGGATGGAAATATTATGGCACAGACAGACAGACTCACTGAATTTTCTTATTATCATGGTGATTGCTCTTGATATGGATGATGCTGTATGCACTGTAAAGTTATGCTTATGATTGTTTTTCTCACTGGTCACTACACTGACGGTTTTTTGTTTAATGTCTGTTAAACGTTTACTGTTCGTTTGCTGGTGTTTTTCCTCTGAAAAACTAATCTGGTCGCTTGGCGTACTTCGTACGCCACTTGAATAAAAATGTCTCTTCCTAATTGGGATGAATTATGCTACTTTTAAAGTAATGTGGAATCCTTAGTAACTTCAAGTATTGATTTATTAACACATTAAATATTAGATATAATGTGTCACAAAAAAAATAAAAAAGGATTTTATTTATAAAAAATAAAAAAGAATGACAACCGAACAAACCTCATTTTCTAGAATCCTGTCGCTAAACGGGTATAGTAAAACACATAAAACCTACATTTTCCCAACCATATAAATGTTACAGTTTAGGCGAAAACAGTATTAAAAACCATTATAAAAATAAAAATCATAAACGGTCGCTTTGGCGTATTTTGTACGCCAATCAGTACATTATTCAAAGCAGCACCCTATAGGGAAGCGAAATGGAAACCAACGGGATCTCCACTTTTCCAGTGCATACAAGACACTATGGTGGTAGGTTACATAGGCGATCACCTTCACCCTAACGCTAGTTTCAATATGTCACGTGCTTGAACTCGTTTGGCGTACTTTTTACGCCGGAGCGACCAATTAAGGGTTAAGCAGAGTCAATAAATTTTTCGAGTTCACCAAAAACATTTCGCGCACGAGTTGCAAACAATATTTTTTCTACAACTCTATTTAAATGTCGATCATTCGAAGCTAAAATTGCATTAAAAATCAAAGGCAGGTGAATTTTAATTATTTTTTCTACAACTGTCAAAAAATGATGAGCTTTGCACATTGATGACAATTTGCGAAGTGACACTTTTTTTCCCAGGTAGATTTTTTATAACGTTCCCATGACGCCGTGCGCGAAATGATTCTGCAGTGTGCAAAATTCCTAGTTCGCACACTCAAGTAACAAATTCCTGACACCTGACAGGAAACCAAAAATAATTAAAAT